GAAGAGCACACAAGACTGGCTGGCGGCGCGTGAAATCGACTTCATCCGGCACGAAGACTGGCCCTCCTCCAGTCCAGATTTGAATCCGTTAGATTACAAGATATGGCAAAACTTGGAGGAAAAAGCGTGCTCAAAGCCTCATCCCAATTTGGAGTCACTCAAGACATCCTTGATTAAGGCAGCCGCCGATATTGACATGGACCTCGTTCGTGCTGCGATAGACGACTGGCCGCGCAGATTGAAGGAATGTATTCAAAATCATGGAGGTTATTTTGAATAAACTTTAGTGTCATAAGAATCTATGTTTTGTTAAGTTCATTTTGGTATATAAATGGTTACATAATGAATAAACTTGTTTCAATTATTTTATATTAAACATGTGACAGAATTTATGACCTGACTAGGTATAATACTGTTTTCAGAGAAGGGCTTGGTACATATAGAGGGCACCCTGTAAACATACAATTTAAGCCTAATACTGTTCCTAAATTTTTAAAAGCTCGACCAGTGCCTTTCGCGTTAAAAGAAAGGATTAAAAAGGAAATCGATCGTTTAGTGGGGGAGGGGGTACTTCGCCCCATATCTTTTTCAAAATGGGCGACACCAGTAGTTCCTATAGTAAAAAAAAATGGAGACATACGACTTTGCGGAGACTATTGAAGTACGGTAAATCAAGCTACTGAGTCAGATACGTACCCAATGCCCACGGCTAGTGAAGTTTTTGCAGTTATTACAGGTGGTTTTTATTACACGACACTTGATTTAGACAGAGCATATACGCAAGTGGTGGGCAAAGACGCCACAGCGAAGCTTTTAACTTTGAATACATGCAAAGGATTGTACAATGTACACAGATTGGCATTCGGCGTGAAGGCCTGTCCGGGAATATTTCATTCAACGCTTGATGACAGCACTGCTAGCAGGCATACCAGGTGTAGCCGTGCTGATTGATGACATCATCATTAGCGACCGCACATTGACAGAAATGACTCAACGTCTTGAAATAGTACTGGACCGCATTGAAAGAGCAGGATTGCGACTTAATAAAGACAAATGTAAATTTGCTAAAAGACGCGTGGAGTTTTTAGGTTTTGTGATCGATGCGGATGGTATTCATCCAGCTCAGAGCAAGGTTGAATCGATTCTTAAAACTCCGGAACCTAAAAATATACACCAGTTACAAGCATTTTTAGGCCTCTATAACTTTTACGAGAGGTTCATACCTCACAAAGCAACTATTCTTGAACCTCTACATAGATTACTCGATAAGTCACAAATGTGGCAATGGACTGACCGGGAACAAAATTGTTTCGATACCGCCAAGCGTTTACTTTCTTCAGAGTTGACTCTTGTTCATTACAATCTTAATAAGCTATTGGTTCTTACCTGTGACAGCTCTGAGTACGGCGTCGGCGCTGTATTATCACACATAATGGAGGACGGAACAGAGCGACCTGTTGCGATGGGCTCTAGGACTTTACATGTGCATGAGAGGCGTTATTCCCAATTGGATAAAGAGGCCACTGCTATAATTTCTGGGGTAGTTAAATGTCACAATTATTTGTTTTTAACCAGAACAATAGCTTTGTGATGTTTTGCTTATGGCGGAGACGCCTGCTGATTTTCCAGTGGATGTTGATCTCATGGCAACGAAGAAAGACAGAACTTTATCGCGAGTAATTCATTACGTACTAAGCAGTTGGCCTGACAGAGTCACGGACAGTGAACTGCGTCTGTATTGGTTACATCGTACTGAACTCTCATTGCATGAAGAATGTATTTTATTTAGTTGTCGCGTAGTGGTGCCACCATCGTTACGTAAGCCTTGCCTAGGTGCTTTACATAAGACACACGCTGGTGTCGCGCAAACAAAGGCATTAGCCAGAAGTTACATTTGGTGGCCGCAATAGAATCATGACATTGAAGTTTTAGTAGGTGAATGCTCAAAATGTTTAGAAAACAGGCACATGCCCCTAAAACAAGCTGTGAATGGATTACACCAACTAAACCATGGTCTCGAATAAATGTAGACTTTGCCGGACCTTTTCAAAATAAGACATTCCTGATTGTCGTCGATGCATATTTTAGATGGCCTGAGATTTTTATTGTAAACAATATGACTTCTGGAACAGTTATTCGACATTTAAGGAATATGTTTGCAACAGATGGATTGTGTGAAACTTTAGTTTCAGATAATGGAACACCATTTGTATCGACAGAAATGAAAATATTTCTTGAAGTGAACAAAATTAAACACGTCACTACAGCACCTTATACCGGCTACCAATGGTTTAGCTGAAAGGATAGTCCAAACCATTAAGGATAAACTACGAACGATGGATGATATCCCATGGGATATCAAACTTCCTAACATTTTACTAGGTTTACGTGTTACACCTTGTACAGCGACTAAAAAGAGTCCAGCGGAACTTTTAATGAACAGGCGCCTACGTACTTTGCTGGATACACTACATCCTGATAATCGCCAGCAAAGAACACAACAAATTATTAGTAACGCTCAAAAAATTTATAGGGAATCAGAGACGGGCCAGAATGCTATGTATCGGAATTATGGTAATGGGCCAAGTTGGTTACCAGGAACTATAGTAAATAGAAATGGACTATCTAGTTATGAGATTACTACAGAAGATGGATCTTTGATAAATAGGCATATTGATCAATTAATTAACAGAAGACAATCTGACATGAGTGCGATAACCCAGAGAGAGGATGAAGAGATGTCCAAGAAGCAACATACCGCAGATAATAGTGAAATAATGGACAATGACTTAGCAGAGGAAATTACTGGCTATAACTTAGAAAAAGATACGACAGATAATGATGTAAGAGAAGAAATAATTGAAATACCTAGTCAGGAGAAATGGGCGGAAATGTTAGGTATACCAACTAATATGGAAGTAACTTATTCTGGGGGAAAAATTAGGAATAAAATGAATGTTCATTCTAAGTCACCATATGAGAGACCTAGTAATAATTTTATAGCTAAAGTTTACTGATTATAATAGAAATACATATTTAATTTATATAGATGATGTATTAGAAGTTGGTTGTTGAGTTTGTAAGTAATGAATATTGTATATACATACTTGGGGGAAAGGTATGTTATGATTTTGCTCGATTGTCATAAATAGTTATGAAGGTGGGTACTTGCATAACATTGTTTAGAAATAATGTCAGTTAAGTCAACCAGTTTGTCATTAGTTTTGCTACCTAGCACAATATACGTATTTACCTAAATTACTGTGTTTTATTGGATATAACACAACTTAAATAGAATAATTACACATTTAAAAATAGGATACAGGCTTATATCAATTGTTGCAACTGCTGGCCTGTTAAGTAATAATAATAATAATATTTCAAGAACAGATTACCAAGTTTTGCACATGGTAGAGCCATGCTGCAGCTATTAGTTATTAGTAGTATAGTTATAGCACAAATGGGTCAGCTCAACTGGGGAAGGACCACGCTCTCACAGAATACCAGCATAAAATAGCAGCTTAACACTGCTATGTTTTGTATGGTAAGTGTAGAGAATCGGAGATCCTTTTTAATGGAAAAGAGGCAATCCATCTTAGTCCTCACAGATGACAACGCATCTGCATTTTCATTCTTTATTGAGGATAGATGTAGATGTCTATAGGTCACAGCAACCACTTACCATCAGGTGGACTGTGTGCTCGTTTGTCACCCTATCCTAAAAAAAAGAGTAGTTTTGCAATTTAATAATTAAGATAAGGCACCACTTTACAATAATTTCTACCAATTTAGCTACTGAAATATTTTTTTTGGTATAGATCTCTTCATGTACAACACTTTAAAACAAAAATCACACGGAGCAACATTATAATTTTTGAGAAAAAAATTCTAAAGTTTAAAAAGAAAAACAATTTTTTTACATAATCATATGTGATTTTACCACAGATAATGTATGAATTTCACTCCTAGGTTGTACCATTTTACACACAACGCAACATTGGATAGGCGAAGCAAGCTTGGAACTTGGGGGCACTCCGACTCTGACAGGTTAGGGTAGAAGGGGATAGTGGGTCTAGTGAGCGAGCAAAGCGAGTGAACTAAGACCCCGCAATCCCCTTCGTGTTAGGTTACTTTAAACTCTTCAGGAAAATTGAAGCCACGCTATGCGCGGCTCTGTCAATTACCCCTTATTACAATATTGCATGCCTTAAGCGAAAGCGCAAGGTATGTTCTACTATTTAGATTTTACTATGACAGTATATTTTACTTAAGAATAATTTAATTTTTTTATTTGACCTTAACCTTTGACATAAGCCTTGAAAATGTCCTGTTCCTAAGAGCTTGTTTTAAGATAGTATTCCTAAATTTTAGCATATTTTGAATTGATCTTGATTATTTGACTTTCAAACCTTGACCTTAAAGACATCATTGACCTCATTATTGCTTGAAAAGAAACTTGGCAATTTTTTTCTCAGTCTATTCTATTTTTATTCTATTCAGAAAAAAAATGCTGTTAAAATAATCAGCAGAAACTATTGCACAGTGCTTCCCAAGATAAAAATAACTAAAATAAAATGATTAATGGGTTTTTTTTTTTTTTTATAGGAGAGGGGGCAAACGAGCATGCGGCTCACCTGATGGTAAGTGACTACCGCCGCCCATGAACAACCGCAACACCAGGGGAATTGCAGATGCGTTGCCGGCCTTTTAAAAAGGAGTAGGCTCTTTTCTTGAAGGTCCCTAAGTCGTATCGGTCCGGAAAAATCGCTGGTGGTAAACAATTCCACAAGGAAGTTGTGCGAGGAAGAAAACATCTTCTAAATCGCACAGTGGTGGACCGCCAATCATCCAGATGGTGTGGATGGTATCGGGAGTTCTGCCGCGATGTGCGTTCGTGAAATTTGGCGGCTGGGATTAATCCGAACAATTTGGACTTTTAAAACAATTGCTGTTATTTTACAGTTGAGTTGTCTTTACTTTTTTAAGAAAATCAAACTTACCCAATTCTGTGAGCGTTTTGAGGGCCTCCTCATTCCAGTCATCTGAACGAGCATTTAATACGAACTTGTGTCCAGGAACGGTCTTACTTTGCAGTTTGATATTTATATCTGAGTATGTCTCCCTGCCATAAAGAGTTGACACTGTCATGAGTAACCGTGCTACGAAGCTTGTTTCACTGAGATCGCCGGCGGATGCTGCTGCTAGAGTATACTTCCTCTCTACTTCAGCACAATGACTCTGAAGTTTGCTGTACTCTTCCTTTAGTAATGACAAATGCTGCTGAAGTTTTGTTACTTCACTGGACGCTGAGCAAAAACAAATTACAGTTCCTTGAAATTATCAACACCGCCCACTGACCTACAATAGACTTATACAAACTGTTCTAGATACTTACCCATAATGCGAACTTATTTTAAACTTTCAAGCAACCTGGTCCAATGTTTATAAACAATATTTCTTATTTTATTGAAAAAGAAAGTACCTGTCGGCAAAATACTAGTTGTTGTTGTTTTTATTATTCGCTCGAGAGAGCAGGCAAAGGAACTAAGCCATACAGCCTTGGCAAAATACTAGAAAATGACAATTATAACCAAAGAGAATATAATCACTACGTTTAAGAGGCGGGACTTCCATAGTAAAAATAATTGCATGAAATTACGCCAAGTTACTCTACCAACATCAAGATATGACATTTAGTTTTGAGAAACAGTGCTGACAACATTGACGAATTACAATAGTGCTGTAAATGTCTATCCTCGAATAATTTTATCGATATAACCTTTATCGATATATTGTTTATCGATATTTTTACATAAGAAAAGTTAGATCTCTATACTGAATTATTTATGAGAAATAAAATTTTTAACGTGTGGATTGAGTAAAAATGCCGATGAGGATAAGAAATCAATGTATTTTACACACAGCAATTTGTCTTTATATCTCTACACTTAGGTACAAAAGTATGTATAAAGAAAATATAAAATTAATTAGGTAAAAAATAAATGACGACTCCGTAGCGCAGTGGCTAAGCGTTTGGCTGCGGCATTGCAGGACCGAGGCTTCCTTCCCGCACTGAACAATTGTTGCTATGCTGTAAAATAAATAGTCTGCGTCTGGATGCTTGTTTTCAACGTTAGTTTTTTTTAAGGGTAAAAATATTGGGTTTTTAATACCGATTAAATTGCTTTTATGTGTAATAAATGCTATGTACAAATCGCTAGGCTTCTTCACAGAGGCACCTATGTACGTACTATTCGCAGACATCGTTTACTAATTGTCGCTTTCAAAATAAGTGCTCATTATAGCCAATGTTTATTGATGAATAAAATAATGATTTAGTTATATAATCTAATTCTTGCCAAAATGTGACTTTAGAGGGATATTATCTTTTGCTACATGTAAATGAAACCTAATTAACATACACATAAATTGTGGAAGTTTAAAGTTAGTCCACTAAAAATAACAGTTCGTTTTAGTTGGGTTCATATGCAATGTTTGTTACAAATATGTCTTAACATGTGAATCTTTTCAATTGGTGCATGTGCCAGCTATTTCACCCATGGCTTGCATCTGAAAAAATAATATAAATAAAATCACATTATTAATGAACAAATAGAATGTTAGCAGTCAGAATTGACTTGTAGTTTCTAAGTATAGTTCGTTTCGGATTGCCAAACCATCGAACTATCAGATTTAGGAAATAGTGTGTTTGTATTTGTGCACACAATCGTACACTATAAAAACATGTCCTACATAGACGGATAGTCCAAAAATATACTCGCGTTGAATATCATATTACTATTAAAGTTGAAATCACCACGTACCTTTCATCATCTAAGGGAAATATTGCTACGAATAGCCTTTTCTTGTTATCATTTTTTCCGCTTCTTGCACCATTTAATTGGAAAGTTTTATAATGCATATTTAATTTCTTAACAATTCTGTAAATGAACAACGGCTCCTATAGCAAAATTAAAAGCAATCTTAATTAATAAAATATATACAAATATAATTGTTTGATTTGACGTTTGAACCTATTTCATTTGACAATGTCGTTAATAGACATATCACGAAAAGCATAAGAAAGAGTAACCGTCATTAAAATTTGACCCCTGTAGTACATATAAATTTTACTATGGCAGTTGCACCAGCCTGATTATAACTACCACGATTGTTTAAGGCAAAGGCATCTACAGTCATACAGTCTAAGGTTTAATACACGCTAGCACTTCTTATTAGTTTATGGATATAAGTTGACGTGTAGTATCTTCATCATCATCAGCCTACGGCAGTCCACTGCTGGACATAGCCCTCTCCCAAGGTGCGCCACTTAGGCATCATGCATCCAGTTGCAGCCAGCCACCTCACGCAGATCGTCGCTCCATTTAGCCAGGGAGCGCCCACACTAGGTTTACCTAAACACGGTCTTCACTTGCCCATTGCCACTTCAGCCTGCAAATATGGAAGGTTACGTCGGTTACCATGGTTCTCCGGCAGATTTCTTAGTTATGAATCTTATCTACCAGAGAAACTTTGAGCATAGCTCTTTCCATCGCCCGGTGGGTGACTTTGAGTTTGTGGAATAGTCGTACCGTTAATGTCCACGTTTCGGCACCATATGCGAGTACAAGCAGGACGCACTGGTCGAAAAAAAACTACCAACCTCGAAAAAAAATTGCCAACCTTTCCCATCGTGGCGAATAAGGGCATAACCTCCCAATGGTAATGACATAATGTAGTGTAAGAAACTAGACTGTAAAGCCACAGGAAAAGGCTTATAATCCCACTTTTGGTGTAAGAAACTATTCCACTTCTTAAATTTGCCAAACAATTACTTTGCGTACATCCGCTAGATAAAATTTATCTAGTGGTGTACGCTAAGTAAATGTTTGGCAAATTTAATATAATGGACTTCCGCAAAGTAACGCCTGATTCTATTAATTGTCTTTATCTAGCGGATGTACGCAAAGTAATTGTTTGGAAAATTTAATATAATGGACTTCCGCAAAGTAACGCCTGATTCTATTAATTATATTCCACTTCTGATGTTATAAATGATTCTCGAAAGTATTTAATTAAAAGAACAATACTCGGTAACTAACCCTGCTTACTATCAAAACCCGAATTACATGATAACACCAAAGTACGCAAACCAACAGAATCACTACCGATCTCAATGTAACACAGGGCCGCCTGTCATACCTCATTTACACTCTCGCGCGAGCGATGAGGCGAGTCGCGAGACGAGCCACTAGGCGCGAGTGTAAACGCTAGCTCGTGGCTCGTCTCGCGGCTCACCTCGCTACTCGCGGCGCTCGCGTCGGAGGCGGTTATTTGGGCACGAGACAAAGGGCCTCGCGAGCGACGCGAGCGTGGTGTTTACACTCGCGCGCTCGTTTCTGCATAGCGTTTCAGTTTGTTTAAGGCGCCCTTCCGTGCAGGTTGTTTTGTTTTGTTGGGTTTACACGTTCGACTTCAATCAAAAATGGACTGGTCGCAAGAAGAAACGCTGCAAATCTTGGAACTTTATCGGGCTGAGCGAATAATTTGGAATCCAAAACATGCGTGGCATAGAATTTCCGAGGTTATATGCAGACCGCTAGCAGAGCTCAAAGTAAAAAAGAATTTGCTTATATATAGAAAAAAGCAATCTGTGAAATCTGGCACATCTGTTGATGACATTTATAATCCAATATGGGTATACTATGACATTATGGAAAATTTTTTGGCACAGGTTTATAAATGTGACCATACAACACGACCTTCCTTGCCTACAATAGTAGAATACCCCAACGGGTATAGTACGAGTAACGACAGTGGGACTCTTAGAATTACAGACTGATATCTCGTAGTCGCCTGTGCGATACTTTATACTGCTAAAAAACGTGGGAGATTACAATTCTACCTTCATTTGTTCGTATTTCCTTTTATTTCTTTTACCCTCATTTCCTACAGTAGTATATTAAATTAAAAAAATTCTTCACATTATATTAACATTCGACAACATCTTAACTCAGTAATCAGTAGTAGTAGACAGTCGATGGCTCCATATTGAAGTAATATATACTTATGACTCCGCGAAGAGGGCGATAGTACGAGTATCTCATGACACCTAAAGGATAAAATAAGGTTCATACAACAAAGATATGATAAAAGAAAGATAAAGACGCTGGATTGGCTATACAAGACAAGTGGTGAGGCTGCTGCCTTGCTGGATATAAAAATGCATCCTTTGTGTCCATAAATAATCGTATCTTGATACACTATCGTCATCGACTGTCTCTAACAGACATCTGCTGCCATCACAATCGCTCAAAAATGTCGCAATATAACTGATGAACATATTATTTGGAAGAACAAAATGTATTACAGCGTTTAATGCAATAAAGGATATTAAGTATAGAATATAGGTTTAATGTATTTTTTTATAGAAATAGGGTGACAAACGAGCACACAGTCCACCTGATGGTAAGTGGTTGCTGTGACCTATAGACATCTACATCTATCCTCAATAAAGAATGAAAATGCAGATACGTTGTCATCCGTGAGGACTAAGATGGAATGCCTCCTTTCCATTAAAAAGGATCACCGATTCTCTACACTCACCATACGAAACACAGCAACGTTAAGCTGCTATTTTACGCTTGTATTCTGTGAGAGCGTGGTCCCTTCCCGGTCGAGCTGACCTATTCGTGCTACAACTATACTATAAATATAGCTGCAGCATGGCTCTACCACGTTAAAAATGTATTTTACTGTAGCACAGAATAAATAATTTAATATATGTACGTAGCTGTAGTATTATAGGTACAACAAACTAATAAGAAGTACATAAGTACCTACGTAATGATTATATACTCTTTGGGTACCGATGTAACCAATGATAAAAGGAGTTTTGACGGGAACTTGACCGGCGGCAGTTTGCTGCCCCTGTATTATTGTATAAATAATGGTTTGAAGTGGATTTTGATATGTAAAAGTGGTGCGATTGTGTGTATTAAGTGTTTACGCATGTTAACTATTAGTGGAAACAGTAAAACAAGTGCTCTGATGGTGATGTGATTCTCAAGATAAGGTGTCTGTCTGCTTAGACGCCATGAGATACCATCACCAACTGTTAGCTGTCTGCTTCTCAAGTTACGTTCAAAACTTCTCATAGGCGGCACAATTTGACGCATCAACATATTGTGAAGCAGTGTTCTATGAAGAATAATTGTACTTTGTAACTTCAGGCTTAGAATTGCTAGAACCCAGAGCCGTAAAGCCTGTTATTAAAAAAACAACGATAAAAAAAATATTGTTATCAATTTTTTCTTATATCAATGTTATCATTAATGTTTGGGGTCATCCTCAATAGATGTCTCTGCATCGCCGAAAACTAAATCTATTTTTAAGATAACCTTCAAGTGATTTTGTCAAATGAATTGATAACAAGCATCAGCAGCCTAAGGGTATTAGTGTTCTGTGATCAGCAGTTTCGGACTTTTGACTTGTCGGTTCTCTAAAATTTTACATTACAGTTAGTGATTTAGTTTCAAAGTCAGCATGAATTCTTTGACCAGAATATTAAATATAAGTTCGTCTATCCCTAAGAGTACCAGGTAAATAAATAGTCTGCTATTTCCGACGGCCTACTTTTAATTTATTAAATATTAATGTTGAGTTATTATTATAGGTTGATAACAACAACAAGTACTCATCAAATTTCTGATGATGGATGGCTTTCGAAGTTGCTGGTGCGAAGAATAGAACCAACGAAAGAGTCTCACAGCCGTATGCTAAGTGACAAAGAAATTGTATACGCACTTCACACGCATAATATTCGCCCAGATTCTGTGGATAAATATCTGAAAAATTAGTATGTTCTAAATTTATTACGTTTCATACCGAGACATACAGCTGGTAAAGTGTTTGTGATTATGCAACAACCTTAAATTATTAATAGTTGTATTTAAAAGTGTAACACTTGAAGATGAAGATTTTTTTTATCTGTCAATAGCCCTTGACCTTATAGCTAAGTGTAAATAAATATGATAGGTTAAGTATAATTTACACTTATTGAATTTAACAGAAACATGATGTTCAGTACATCATTATCATAATAAAAAAGTATAACTTTCTATGGACTCTGCACAGTGCACATCTTCCAAGTTGTCACCATATTTAGTAGAGGGCTACTACCTCTACACTATGCTGCTTGCTTTTGTAGGAGACTGCCACATACCTTTTTCTGTAGGTTGTCTGTTTTTTGAACTATATGACTGGTTGTTACTTCAGTTTCATTTGTTACTTTGTTTCCATTGTGGAAATACTTTGATATGTACCCCGAGAAACCCTTTTTACTGGAAATGAGGCATTCCATCTTAGATCTCATGGGTGACTTTGATTCATAATTGAGGATAGATGTAGATGTCTACGGGTCACAGTATTCACTTACCATCAGAGGGATTGTGTGTTCGTTTGTCATCCTTATCTTGTAAAAAAAGATGTTTCACACCTTGCTGTTCACCGCTGCCTATGAGATTTCCTTTCTGTACAGATTATCAAGCATCCCTCCTAAGCGTATGCTTCCTGAATAGATTGCTTCATAAGGAGGACTTGTTATAGTTGCCATGCTTGGCAGGCCGGTTATTATATAAAATATTATTTTTGTTATATCATAAAGATGCTGCTCATGCATATTATTTTTGTTCTATCATGAAGATGCTGCTGTTTCATTACCCTTTGTCACCTCTTACGACACTCGGGAGGGATGATATGAGGCAGTAGATTCTCATACGTACCACTAAAGCCAATTAAAAATTCCTTTTCCATTTCATTCTTTAAAAATGTAATGACTGAATAAGAAGCCTGTTCTTGCAAATCAATCTCTTACCTGATATTTCACATGAAAGAGTGAAAAATCAAAGATTTATTCAGGCATTAATTGCCAGAAAACAGCAGAATTGTCCCATTTACTACTTTGTCAGATTCCTTTTGTTCCTGCCTCTTAACTCGCTTTCCATTTTATCATTGGACCACCAGATGCTCACCTAGTCTTCACCCCTTTGCAACTATTTTCCAGCCATCATAGTATATGATAATATACATATAAATATATTATATCTCCTTAATATTGAACTGTCTGATCTTTGTTTAAAAATATAATTGGTGAGACTTGCAATGAATAGATTCCACATTTGTGTAACAATTATCGAAATAAGTAACTTTGTTATGAATAAAATTATAACTGAATTTAATTTATGGTAAAATATTTCTTCTTTGGTTGAAGAAATGACAAAGATAAGTTATTTAAACTTTTCCATTATTATAGTCTAAATACATATTTAAAACTTAAGATGCATATCATAAAAAAATCCCTTATTTTTCACAGTAAAACATCAGTTGAATTTGTGACATCAAGAAAAGCTGAGCTTGGTTGTGAGTTGGTGGGATCATGGACAGTCTCTGTGGGAGACATGGATCAAGCATTACATCTATGGCGCTATGTAGGCGGCTTTGAGAAAATTGACAAAGCCAAAATTTTATTTAAAGAGAATCCAGTAAGTTGAATTCCAAATAATGTGTAAATTATATAATACATACATGCAACATAATGGCTTTGATATGCCATGTTTATCCCAAATATCACCACCACTGGCATGGCAACTAGCAATCACTTGATGTCAGAAAATACATCCAAAAAGATGGAATCCACATACTGATAATAAGATATAGCATTATGCATGAAGAGATATGGGCTGCTGCTGTCTCCAATCTACTTGCTCTGCATAGTGCTCTGTATGGGCAATTTTTTTTAGTATTTCAAGAGTTGATGGCATTCTCAGAAGAACCATATAGTTATAGGCCTAAAAGCTAAGCTAAAAGAAAGTGATGTATCAGACATGTATTATAATAAGTGATGTATTTTATAATAAGACAAACTTAGGCTTAGTAAATAATAAAGTTGAATTGAATAGAGTTTTAGTTTGATAAAATTTATGACCAATATACAGCAAAATTAAGGCTGTTAATGAAAAGTAAAGATGAATTTAAACTTACTTACTTATCTTTACGCACAATCCCTGACGAGTTAGCCACAGAGAACAGATCACCAAGTGTCACGATCCTTACATACCTCTTTCGCTTCTTTCAGATTCATTATCTTCTTCATACATGCACGTCTAGGTATCCGAGTACTCTTGACCCTCCCCTCTTCAAACAATTTGCTCACATGGTCTTCGAAAGTTAGTCTTGGTCTACCTCGACACATTTTAATATTAACTTTCGCGCTATACCTAGTCAGGTCATAAGTATTGTCACACAGTAAAAACTTTTCTTTTAGAATGCTGGCCACAAAAAAGTTTAATGAATTCGAATTTCGAATTGTTCATGAAAATAAAACTGTATACTTTTTAGAATTTTACTCATTTTTAAATATGGAGTGGACGCTTAAAGAAGACCGTGTTGCAGTTATTGCGTTGCATCGTTGCGGTTACGCGCCAATTCAAATTTTTGACATACTGAAAAATTTGAATATAACCAAAAGATTCGTTTGTCGTACCATCAAACGATACAATGAAGACTCTAGTGTAGATGACAGGTCAAAAAGTGGTCGCCCTCGGTCTTTTAGGACTCCAGCAGTGACAAAAGCTGTGAAGGCGTGAATTCAAAGAAATACCAAACGTAAGCAGAAACTGTTGGCCCTTCAGATGGGGTTAAGCAGAACCACGGTGAAAAGGGTGTTAAATGAAGACTTAGGGCTTCGGGCATATCGAAGAAAAACAGGACATCGTTTGAATGCTCGTCTAATGGACCTGAGACTGAAGAGATGCCGCGCTTTGTTGAAGCGGTACGCGGGAAAAAAATATCGGGAAATTCTTTTTTCGGATGAAAAAATTTTTACCGTAGAAGAGAGCTACAACAAACAAAATGATAAGGTGTACGCACACAGTAGTGAAGAAGCGAGCAACCGTATTCCGTGTGTCCAACGAGGTCATTTTCCATCCTCGCTCATGGTATGGTTGGGAGTTTCTTATTAGGGCTTAACAGAGGTACATTTTTGTGAGAAAGGTGTAAAAACGAATGCAGTTGTGTATCAAAATACAGTCCTGACGAACCTTGTGGAACCTGTTTCTCATACCATGTTCAATAACAGGCACTGGGTATTCCAACAAGATTCGGCGCCAGCTCATAGAGCGAAGAGCACACAAGACTGGCTGGCGGCGCGTGAAATCGACTTCATCCGGCACGAAGACAGGCCCTCCTCCAGTCCAGATTTGAATCGGTTAGATTACAAAATATGGCAACACTTGGAGGAAAAGGCGTGCTCAAAGCCTCATCCCAATTTGGAGTCACTCAAGACATCCTTGATTAAGGCAGCCGTCGATATTGACATGGACCTCGTTCGTGCTGCGATAGACGACTGGCCGCGCAGATTGCAGGCCTGTATTCAAAATCACGGAGGTCATTTTGAAGAAACTTTAGTGTCATAAGAATCTATGTTTTGTTAAGTTCATTTTGGTATATAAATGGTTACATAATGAATAAACTTGTTTCAATTATTTTATATTAAACGTGACAGAATTTATGGCCTGACTAGGTATATTTTCTTCACCATTCGGTCTTAACTCATTCGCTCAACGTGCCCAAACCATCGAAGCACGCCCTTATCAATTTTTGTGATAAGGTCATCTTTCAAACCTGCCATATTGCGAATCTCTTCGTTTCGCTTTCGGTTGGCCATGGTAACGCCGCACATTTTACGAAGACATAGCAATTCCACTGCATTCAACTTACTTTTATGCTTCTTCTGGCATACCCAGGTTTCGCTGCCATATAACAAAGTCGGTACCAACACTGCGTTATGTATTGCAAGGCGTGCACTCTTCACTACGACTTGCCTTTTGACTAACGCAGTCAGGGCACCATTGACTTTGTTCCCGGCAGCGACACGCCTGTCCACATCTAAATCACATCTTCCATCCCGGCTGAAAGCACTCCCCAAGTATACAATTTCATTTATCTGTTCTAGACGTTCCTGATTTACCCATATTTGACACTTCGTTCTCTCTTCGTCCCTTTCAAATACCAGGACCTTAGTTTTAGTAGCATTCAAACGGATACCTTTAATTTCACATTCCTCTTTCATACACGTGACTAATGCCTGCAGTTCTGCCTCTGATGATGCAATAAGCACTGCATCATCAGCATACAGCGGACAATTTACTTTAATGTCACCCAATTTCACACCCAAACAGCTATCTTTCAGCTTCTGTAAACATCTGTCGAGATAGAGTATGAACAGCCAGGAAGACATGACACAACCCTGTTTTACGCCCGTTTGGCCGCTAAACATGGGTGACAGGTCGTGCCCTACCCGCACACAGGCTTTACAGTCACAGTAAAGTGACTGCACAGCCCTTAGCAATCGACCATCCACACCATACCCCGGCAACAGTTCCCACATTTTCTTTCTTACAACCTTATCAAATGCTTTCTCAAGATCCACAAAAGCACAGAAAATCCTTTGGTTAACAGCCAGAAGTTTCTCCGTGATCATGCGGAGAGAAAACATTTGATCCGTGCATCCTCTTCCAGGTCTAAATCCGTATTGTGCCTCCCATAGAAATCTTTCCGATTTCTCTTGCATCCTACGTGTCAAAACCTTCGAGTAAACTTTACTTGCTAAACTGGTCAGTCGCAATCAAAATATGAACCTTTACCTTTATATAAAGGCACAATAACTGCGGATCGCCAATCATCCGGGACATCCCCCGTCCGCCAGCACAAATTGCACAGCAGATGAAAGCTGTCCCAGACGCGAGGCCCACCATACTAAGTATGACCATTTCAGCAGTTCAAGTCTTGACCATTTCAGCAGTAACTCTGTCTAGTCCCGCAGCTTTACCACATTTCAAACTTCGAATCGCACGTTCAATCTCTTTCATACTGATGACCTCAGTGTCATCGATGTCCGGGTCTGGCGTACCAGTCACGGCGTCACCCCCGGATCCCTCACTAAGATCATCACACGCATACATTTCTCTATAAAATTCGCTCCATCGCTGCATGACGTCCGATTTTTCTGAGAGGACGTCATTGGTTCTCGAAAGCACTTTGTTCATTCTTAAGGCCGCCGCACCACTTCGGGTCCTTCCAACCTCTTTCCAGAGGAGTTTGGAGTTCTCCTTAAGTTGTGCGACAACCTTTCGTCCGCTTCCATTCTACACCTTTCACGCACTTCCACAATCAATGTTTTCGTATGAACTTTCTGCAGCTTATATCTTTCTTTCATCTTCTCTCTCATATCCTTATCATTACTAGAGGCCAAGTAGTCTAACCATGCTTTCTTCTTCTTCTTTACAGCTTCTTTCACTTCATCATTCCACCATGCATCTCTTTTTTTACTACTACCTCTTTTTATCGTTCCACACACTTCTTCTGCTGCACTTACCATACCATCCCTAAGGTTCTGCCATGTTCTTTCCACACATTATTTTCTGCCATCGATGGTGTCAAGCTTTTCGGCTACGCTCGCATGATATTTGTCCATAGTATCCGCTTCCTGAAGCTTCCAGCTTCGGATGCGACAGACCGACTGTGGTTCTGTCACTGCCGTCCGGTAGCGCCAACCCGCGAACAGACCCCTAAATCTAGTAATCACTAGATAGTGATCTGTTCCCAGGTCAGCACCCCTGAACACTCGCGTATCCATCACCTGTTTTCGCAGTCGGTCATCCACCAGGAACAAATCGATCATACTTCTCTCATTCTTTCTTTCTCTAGTATACATATGGATTTTCTTGTGATTAAACATATTGTTTGTCACAAGAAGACCCTTTTCCTTGCATACAGCCAGTATAACCTTGCCAGCATCATTAACTCTTTTATCGCCAAACTTTCCAAGCACCGACTCGTACCCTGGTCGAGCGGTACCAACCCATCCATTCAAGTCACCACATACAACAATCCTTTCGTTTCCCCTAAGCAAATCTAGAACTTCTCTTACATTCTCCCAAAACTCCTCCAGCTCAGCCCTGGACGACTAAGCTACCGGCGCATAAACAGCAAAAAAGAATAACTTCGCCAGTCCCAATTTAAAGCGAACCCAGAGAAGTCTTGAGTTCACAACCTTATATTCAGTCATAGCATCGACCAACCGAGACGACAGCAGCACCCCCACTCCTTGGCAGGCGCTCTCGCTCTCCGGGACTCCGGACCATAGAGCTAACGTCCCGCCAGGGAGCTCTTCAGTACCACTGCCCTTCCGTTTGGTCTCCGACATACACACGACATCTTATTCTCTTTCTTTCATTATTTCGATCGGCTCATTCGTCTTATCTCTCATGCCTCCTCTAACATTTCACGTGCCAACTTTGCACTCTGTCCTCCACCTTCCGACACGGCGGGCTGTGCGTGACGGGTGGCGGTCCCCATCGCCGCTTTGCGCGCTGCATTCCATACCGGGACGGCTGGTGTGCATCACCTTGGGGGGACGCCCTAACCCTCGTTGGCATGGGTGCGCAGCTGTGTAGAATTGCAGCCCTGAAAAGGGCTGGCA